GTCTTGATTTAGTAATGTAAAAAAAAAAAATACTATTTTAAAGGTTAAAAAACAAAAAGCAAAAGTCTACCAATAATATATAATGTTACTTATGTTAGAGAAACTGGTTATACTCAGTGGAATAGATGCACAGGAAGACTGATGTGCACAGTATATACCAGAGGCTGGTGTATAGAATAAACGATGGCAATAGACTTCTAAAGAAGTTCCTACTGGACTGTCAATGACTGTGGTCCAAACAGTGTGCAAGCCCAGGTACTATCCACAGCCCTCCACTTGGCAGCCGTGGGTGAAACCCCCTGGTAACTGCCCACCAGGCCTCCTTTCATGTAAAGGCTGTGGACACTCAAAAAGCAGGACCGACTTATCCATTAGGCACAGTAGGCACGGTGCATAGGGCCTGTGGTAATTTTAGGGACCCATGAATCCATCTTAAGTCCCTTTAAAGTCAGAAGAAAAATATAAAATTTTAGGTTAAAAGGTTTCAATATAGTGTATTAATGTATTTGTCCTTACACCAACACAATCATAAAATATCTTTTCAAATACTTTTTGTGGAGGAAAGGGCCCGTGAAAGTCATCATGGGCCCCTGCACCCTTCCCTCTCACTTGCTCTCCCCAGGAGCTCCAAAGCTTCCGGGCAGGTGGCCCAGGCGAGGTCAGCGTAGAAATGGACGCTGCCCCCGGAGTGGACCTCACCAGGCTCCTCAACGACATGAGGGCGCAGTACGAAGCCATCGCTGAGCAGAACAGGAAGGACGCAGAAGCCTGGTTCATCGAAAAGGTAACAAACAAAACCAAAAGGCTTTGATACGTTCCTAGAAACACCCATGAGCCAACGCACGGCCCTCTTTGCTGTCGCAGAGTGGGGAGCTCAGGAAGGAGATCAGCACCAACACGGAGCAGCTTCAGTCCAGCAAGAGCGAGGTCACCGACCTAAGGCGCGCGGTTCAAAACCTGGAGATCGAGCTCCAGTCCCAGCTCGCCATGGTAGGCTCGCGCACAGAAAGGAGCATCATTTCAACGTGCAATGAAAATGTTGCATCCAAATTATGTTAGGCCACTGGCTGTCCTCCTCTTTTCCGTCCCCTCCATTGTTATATCTGTACCATTTTCCTCCCACGTGCAGAAGAAATCCTTGGAGGACTCGTTGGCTGAAGCCGAGGGCGACTACTGCGGCCAGCTGTCGCAGGTGCAGCAGCTCATCGGCAACCTGGAGGCGCAGCTGCTCCAGGTGCGCGCGGACGCCGAGCGCCAGAACGCGGACCACCAGCGGCTGCTGAACGTCAAGGCCCGCCTGGAGCTGGAGATTGAGACCTACCGCCGCCTGCTGGACGGCGATGCCCAGGGGTGAATAGACAACTAGTGACAAATACCTTCGGGGGGCTCATCAACAGCGGACACCTGATGCAGTTGTCACTGAATTGGAAGGAATGGTTCTTTAGTTGACAGAAAATCAAAAATCTAGTAAAGAAAATGCCTGGGATTTATTAAATGCCCTACACTTTGCAAAATGTTTTTACCCATCATTTTACTTGATAAAATTTCATAAAATGCTACGATAAAGGCAACACGGAGGCATACTGTAAATGAGCACTTAGGTGTAGGAGAAAAATTACCCGTTCTATTTCTGATATCAACGACCCGATGCTAACAATAACATATCAAATAGCAGCCATCTGAGCTATCTCAGACCTACCATAGCAAACTTTCCAAAAGTAATATCAGTCTGAACTAGTGGGAAGAAGTCATGCCTGTCAATTGGGAAATCTAATTTCTGAAATTAGATCTTCCATTGATTCCCAGGTTGCTTCCATTCGAGAGCCCATTTTAGGCAGGGTTTGAAAAGATGCATTGCATGGATTGATCACTCTCAGGGCACGTCAGTCATTCTTAATGAAGAAATTTGAAATACTTTATTTAGCCATAGTTTGTGAATCTTTCTAATTTTTAAATAAAACAGCAAACAAATTCTCCTTATTTCTCCTCATTCCAGCAAGCATCATGTGATGTCATCTCCCTTGTTTTTTTTACAGTGATGGTTTGGATGAAATTTTATCTGTGACAGACTCCAAATCTCAAGCCCAGTCAATTGATTCCTCTAAAGGTAGGCAGATAAGAATCACTTAAAATAAGTCAGAATCACATTTATTAATGACTAAAACTGTAAGATCTCATGGAATACTGCTGTACTATTAATAATTTAAACTTAATGTATATTTGTATTCTGAGCAAGGAAAAACATTCATGCATCCTTGCAGTAAAATGAATAGTCCGTAGTGTACGAAAACTTTTGGCAATCCCAGGAGGGGAAAAAAAATCCTACACTACAAAGACATATGAGCACCAAAACCACTTTTTAAATGTTCAAAGAGAAAAATATTTTCACTGGTGCACAAGACAATACTGAATACCTTTCATTTTCACTGGATAAAACACTTTTTTTAGAATGTAAAGTCACTTTTGAAAGTTTAAATGTGATGGATGATATCAGCCAATTTAGAATTTTAATTTAGAAGCTTAAGTTAAACAACAACCAGTTTTGGATTAATACTTGAAACACTAACTTTTGCCCCCTTTATTCCATTTTTATTTTTAGATCCAGCCAAAACCCGAAAAATCAAGACAGTTGTGCAAGAGATGATAAACGGTGAGGTGGTCTCATCCCAAGTTAAAGAAATTGAAGAACTAATGTAAAATTTCATAAGATCTGCCCCATGATTGATTCCTTAAGAACATGATTGATTCCTTAAGAAATTTACAAATAGAAATTATTCCTTTCAGAATAAGATGCTATATTAGTTCAATCTCTACTGTCGTCTGTTTCATTTTCTTTGGATTCCCTATACATGTTGAGTCTTTTTTGCCCTTCTGAAACCATTTTTCAATTACATGTCATTGTGGCCATGTTGGTCTTCAGAACAAACAAAAATTACCTTACATTTTTCTGTACCTGGAGTAGTCTTGCATGAAAGTACTTTCATGTACATTTTTCTTTCATTACATTTTTCTGTACCTGGAGTAGTCTTCTGGTGACCTGGAACATGTTTTTAATCACAGAGCTTTGATCAAGTAGCATTGTTTTTTTTAATAGAGTTGGTTTTAATAAAAGACAACTGGTAGTAATGTGAAATGTGTGCCTTCTTGATTCCAACAATAATGTCAAGCAGATATAGAGAAGTTTTTGAAATACTGATAATAAAGTTAGATAAACACTGGGACAAAGATGTTAGGGTTGGAGATCAAGTAAAGAAGATTCTTTTACAAGTTCTGTTCTCACATCAGCTCATCAAGGTTGCAGCAAAACTATATAGCTGATGTGAGAACAGAACTTCTAAACTATATTGCCCATTACAGGGGATAACATTTGTCCTGTTCATTTTCTAGCACCTTCTTTCATGCAGTCAAGAAGCATGTACTGAGCCCCTAGAGTGTGCCAGATTAGAGACTCAGTGATGAGTAAAACATGATCCTTGCCTAAGAGTTCACAATTGAGGGCAGAGGTAGACATCTACCCGGAATGGTGACACAGTGAGACAGGTCGAATAGAAGTTCACAGGACTCATGGAGAAGGAAGTGAACAGGGAGAAATCAGCCAGGCAGAGAAGGAAGAAAGGGAACAAAGAAAATACACGTGAAAAGACACAGGGGAAGGGTGTGGACAGCCATGGCTTTGCTCTTTACTGTCGGCAGCAGTAAGTCCCGGAGGAGGTTTCCGCTGGAGTGGGCCAGACACACAAGTCAGTATCAGGAGTCATGTCCTGTGTTGGGGCAGAAGGCAGCCAAAGTCTAAGCCTGAGTAGACGGTGGTTCAATCTGGTTTGCCAAATTCAAAACCTTAAAAGGAAAACAAGAGCAGGGTTTAATGATTAAGAGCCTGGGCTCTGAAGCCAGACTGGGTTCAAGTCCTGGCTCTGCTACTTAATAGCAAGTCACTTAACCTCTGCGTGCCTCAGTTTCCTGACCTTTAAAGTGGAAATGATAGTCACGATAGTACCTGCTTCCTGGGGTGAGTTTTGTGATGACTAAAAAGGTTATATACATAAAGCATTAGGAACCTAGAAAGTATTGTCGCCTAGAAAGCACTCAATATTCATGTTCTGTTGTTGTTTGTGGTATGGTCATGCAAGCCTGGGGAATTCCAGAGCCGAGTGCAGAAACCAACGGAGGGTTATTGCGCCATTTTAAGCTGACCTGCTTCCGTATGCAGCTTTCTGAAATCATGCCTCCTTTTAATTTTTTTAATGGTTTCAGGTCCTCAGTTCATCTCACTTTATTATGCATTCAGCTCTCAATTTGGCCCTCATCTTCCAGAATACATCCAGGAGAACTTAACCTTTCAGACCCGAAGAGGTTATAAACGTCTTTTCCCGAACAAAGTCCATAGCCCTCAGGTGTAAATGATGCCGCCTCCCTGGAACTCAAAAGTGCCTGCAGATAGTTACTGTTTTAAGTAACAGCTGTTTCCTTAAACTACATCTAAATGGTGTAAAACTCAAAGGAGAAAGGGGTCTTGTACAAGTACAAATCCAGTCACCATTTCTTAGCTATTATCTCGGTTTCTCAGCTTTCCCTTTTATTGGAATTATTTTTCTTGCACAGGGCTCCCAGAAACACCATGTCACTAGAAGCCTGTTCTCAGACTTCTCTCCGTGACCTCTGAATGCTGGCTCAGTCCTCGTCTTCTCTCTACACCCACTCCCCGGATGATCTCACCTAATCCTGTGGCTTTTAAATGCCATGTATACATTGATTGCTTCTTGTGGTAGCCCCCAAGAGGGCCCCTCCTGGTATTCATGTTCTCATGTAGTCCCCTCCCACAATGAACAGACAGCAGAGCTAGTGAGCAACTGACAATGTGTGACTTCCGAGGGTAGTCACAGAAGCATTTAGGTTCTTTCTGCCTTGGTCCCTTGGATCGCACACGCAGGGGGAATTCAGCTGCCAACAAGGTTATAGCATGGGGGGAAAAAAACTGAAAAAAAATCAGAGATTTCACAAAATTTTCCACTGAAGCTTGAATGGCTAGGATTTTGTGGAACAGCCCGCAAGTCCCAAATAAAAGTTCTTTTTCTCAGTCAGAATATCTTATCGTCTTCACTTGGCAAAGGAAGCATTAGATTTCTTACTATCTAAATTCACTTTACCATATCTCACTGCCAAGAAATGCAATTAACACAGCATCTGTCTCAGTCTGTCAGGCTGCTATAACAAAATACCTTAGACTCACTGGCTTATAAATGACAACACTCTGGTTCATAGCACCTTCTCACTATAGTCTCGCATGGTGGAAGGCGCAAGGCGACCCTCTGCAGCCTCTTTTATATGGGCATTAACCTCATTCACTAGGGCTCCACCCTTATGACTTAATCACCTCCCACAGGCTCCACCTCCTAAGACCATCAAATTGGTGATTAGGTTTTAACATACGCATTTCAGGAGGACACAAACATTGAGACCATAGAAGTATCCTTATCATGGGATTCCAGTGCTCAATCACAAGTCCTAATTCAACACAAACATAAAAGGTCCCTTTGGACTCAGCAAAACTTGTTTCTGGACCCCAAAGGATACCAAAATCCATGGACACTCAAGTCCCTTACATGTAATGGCATAGTATTTGCATATAACCTACATACATCCTTCCATATACTTTAAATCATCTCTAGATTACTTATAATACCTAATAGGACTTCCAGTCAAGATGGCAGAATAGACAGTCCCCAGCATCATTCTCTCCAACTATATCAATTTACAACTATAAAAAAGCAATGACAGCCAAACTGGGACCGCTAGAGCTCAGGGGAAGACAAGGAGAGGCTTGCAGAATGCATGAGGGTGAGAAAAGCCACAATGAGAGAAAGAACCACTCCAACAAATTCGAGCCCCAGCCATGTCCAGGCTGGATCTGCTGAGTGCACAGAGCAGGAATTGGCAAAAGCCACAGCTGTGCCCTTGAGATGGAGCTGCTTGGAGGATGCAGGGAAGAAGAGGGCCTTGGTGTCCCCCAAGCCAGCAAGACCTTTAATAGGGTTCCCATGGACCCACATAGGAGTGAGGAGCCACAACAACTGAAAAAAAGGAGCCAGTCAGAGGCCAGCGAGTCATCGCAAGGGACTGGAACATGACCCACCCCTTGAGAAGTGTTTGCAGCATGGGCAGTGGGAGAGACAGACCTGCCAGGAGAACACTGGGGCACAGCAAGGACAGCTGATCTGCCCCCCAGTCAGCACAGGACCACTCAGAGGAGACTCGTCAGGAATACAGAATTGTATGTGGTGCCATTTGATGAAAAGACTCAGGCCCAGACCAGAGTTTCTACACAACCCAGTTGTACTAGATCTCATGAGAGCCAAAAGTACCTATAAAGTCAACCATTAAAATCTGAGCTGCACAAAAAGCCTTCCCTAGGGAATCAGCAGCAAAGCAGCAGTTTAGCTCAACCACAGAGTTCAAGTACAAGTCCCCACAGGAAGTTCCCCCATTTTATCAGTGGCGGGAGGGGGGATGGAGAGGGTGATAGGGAGAGATTGGACAAAGGGCATAAGGAATAAGTACAATTTGTAACAATAAATATACTAGTAATATTGATTTGATCAACATATGTCAACATCGAATCCCAAAAATATGTATAATCAATTATGATTCAATAAAAATAAATAAATAAATAAAGTAAGTAAGTAAGCAAGCAAAGGACAACAAATTAGTTCCAGCACAGAGTTTAAGTGGTGAGAACAGCAAATAATCCAACACAGAACTGAAAGAATAAACAAAGTACCCACAACCAGAGACAAAGTTTGATATTAACTAGTAAAGGTCTCATTTCTCCAACGAGCACCTATAACACCTAGAAGGACTGGAACTCTCCTGGGCTACCAAGCCAGAAAGGGGGTAGGGCAAGGGACCTCAGTCATGCCTCCCAACACCCACAATCAGTCCTCAAGGGTGGGGGTCAAGGGCCTTGGCCACACACCCCTGACATCCATAACCAGCCCAGCGATGACCACTGAGCTGCTGCAGGAAGTGCCCTGGGCTCTCCTGAGCTGGGGCAGTGGGGGGCTGTGGGCCTCGGCCACAACCCTCCGACATGTGCAACCAGCCCAGCAATGACCACCAAGCTGCAGCAGGAAGGGCTCCAGGTTCCCGAGCTGGGGTGGTGGAGGGTGAAGGCTTCTGTCACAGCCCGATGACATCTGCACCCAGTCCAGTAATGATCAAGCCACTGCTGGAAGCCCCCTGGTCTCCCCTGTGGGAATGAGAGGGGTGCCATACACCTCAATCCCACCCCTTCTCCTTCCTCCTTCTTCCATCTCATTTCCTTCCCACTTCCCCTCCCCCTCCATCCCAACTGCTCTACATCATAGAATGTAAAAAAAAAATTAATAAAAAAATAATTTTTAAAAAAAATTTTTATTTTTTTATATTTTTTTTATTGGTTATGAATATTCATGAGATACAAAGCTTGTCACCCCTTGTGCCCATGATGTGAGGTCCAGATTCACACTGGCAGCATACCCATTACCACAAACTGCATCTGTACCCCGTGTCCCCCACCCAATTATCTCCAACCTCCCTTCCCCCTTTTGCCCCAACTCCACTTGGTAGCCCAAGGAATGTTCTCTCCCTCTGCAATTCCAAACACTACCGTTCTCTTTCTTTCCTTCCTTCTTTCTCTCTTAGCTCCCACATAAGAGTGA